AGACACTGAGTGATATGGCTGGTTGTCGCAACCAGTGGCGTTCGTGCATCTTTTCAATCTCTTTGCAACCTTAGACCACTGAACTTCTCCATTTTCTTTTCGACTTCACTTTCAAGTTTCCTTTCTTCTCCTATTCTTCATCCAAATGCGCAGCCAAAAGACAGCAACCAAAACCGGCGCACGAATATGCGTGGTTAATGGTTGTGCAAACTGAAACTAAACTAAGTGAATAAGCTAAATAAATGGGAGTAGTTCATGCAAGTTGGATTCTGGTATCTGAAAATAATTTCGCGGGATAGGTGCTCAGTCGTTCGTGCGGGGTAGTTTGTGTGAGGTTGCAGTCACAGAGTTCAACGGATGATGTACAAAGTGATGCCCTAGCGATAACGTTATGTCAGTTTGCGGTTAATCGCGATGAGATCGGTAACTGAATATCGAAAATGGACGAATCAAGTACAAGGACCGGACAATCATACACGCGCGGAATCGGTAGGAGATTCTAAACCCATCCATAAATAAACAAGACAGTTCAACGAATATGGTCCAAGATCCAGTCAACGAAAGTACAATCCAGGACCAGCGAATACACGTCATACAGAGGTAGGTCAATCAGCGGTGTGTGTGTGTGTGTGTGTGTGTGTGTGTGTGTGTGTGAAGCAGAAAAACAAAACAGTCAACTGCAGTCCGATCATCGCTCATCATGAGGAATCTCGTTCATATTTAACTCAAAGTTTTCATTTATTCATCGAGTATTCACAGTTTAATAGTCCGTCCATGGACAGAGAGGTTTTCTAACTGCGTCAGTCGGTGAGCAGAGTTCTGAAGTGTGCAATGGGAAATGGTTCTCCCGTTTCTCCTCGATCTTTTCATTTGTACTCAAATCCCCTTTCGTGTTTTTATAATTGTGTTGGCACCAAACTTGTTCTGAAGACGGTGTTTAATATGAAATCAGAATCCATCGTAACGTTCCACTGAGTTTGTCAAATGTAATTGAAAGTCGATGGTTATCAACGCATAGTGATTTTCTGTTGGTAAGACCAACAGTATCTAATAATTGTGGTCACCACTATGGTGTCCAGTACTACGTTCATAATATCCTTTGTCATACACGTGATTTCCGGCAATGTCAAAACATTTAATTCTCTTGCGGTTCCATTTCAGTGATGAACTGACACTGGAAGGAATCAAACAGTTTTTCGTGGCAGTGGAACGTGAGGAGTGGAAATTTGACACCCTGTGTGATTTGTATGATACACTCACAGTTACACAGTCCGTTATCTTTTGCAACACGAAGCGTAAGGTCGAGTGGCTGACTGAAAAAATGCGTAAGAATAATTTCACTGTCGCCTCAATGCACGGCGACATGGTGCAAAAAGAACGAGAGGAGATCATGCGCGATTTCCGTGCTGGTGAAAGGTGAGCTGTTCCATCTGTGTGGTTGCACAGGTATTTCTTTTTTGTGTATTTTATAGCCTCTCTGGAGTTGAGATAATGTTTACACTTAAGAGTTCATCAGTATGTTTCGCAATTACTGCGTGTTTTTCGTACATACAATAGTCTGATGAACAGTAGAACGAAGGACTCACACATTCTTGAATGTTGACTGCCTGTTTATGGGAGCCGTCCACCGAAGCTTCGGGGAAAGGAACTATCAAACTATATGATTCTCAGGGTGGATGGACTTAATATTGGGCTACAATTGAGGGAACGAACTCATTTTTAGGAACTCGGCGGGTTCCCTATCCAGAAGGTTCGACACTGTTAACTTTGAGCCCTTTTCATTTTTGTCCTTAACATGTAATCAATCGATGAAGAAAAGGAAAGAAGCGGAAACCGATGGGCTTCTTCCCCATTTTTTCATAATGAAAGTTGACTCTGTCGTCGATTCTATTGTTGCTTTGCTGAAACATTCGGTCGGAACAGCCTATTTCTTCATCTCCGGTGGATCATTGATCGTTCCAATCTTCGAGAAAGAATCATGCAACAACTGCAAAAACCAGTATGTTAGGTTATAATCACCGTAAAGGTGTTAAATTCTGTGATACCTCGTCACCTGACACCCTTAAGGGAGATAAGTATTCGCGAACAACAAGCAGGATTCCGACCATGTCGCGTTTGCCTCTACCAGTTCTTCACCTTGCGTCAAGCCCTCGAAATACGCCAAAGGCACTTCGTCGGACAACCATCGCACCGCTCCCTGACCTCAAAGGGGTCTTCGATTTAGTTGACCGCGAAGTCCGAGTGGGTTCGATTCTTTTAAAAGCGATACCGCAGGTGGAAACTTA